AGGCTGGTCCGAACGTGCCGTGCTGTGACCGATGCCGGAGCAAGGAGTGGTTCAGTACAGACTGAACTGTAGGTGCTCTCCAACAGTCGGGGCCCTTAAACATGGTAAGGTTTGTTGTTCTTTCTGGGGAAGAAAGTGCACAACAGTGCTCTGAACATCAAGGATGTATGATACACACCCCTTCAAGCAGCTTATTGAGCTGCTTAGTGACATAGTTCAGTGAGTCCTGGCGAGAGCTTAGTGGGCTGAGACAATTTGCTACTAAAGGCAAAGGGTTCCATGCAGTTAGGGCTGTGGGACTTAGCAATCCAGCAAATGTTTATTTTCTCAGCAGAGCAGCCAGACACAGCCACTCATTAAGTACCTGGTGTTCTTTGAGCAGCACTTGGCCTGCATCAGCTGAACATTGTTTCTTTGAATAATGTAATTAAGTGCTTCGCTGCTTCAGGGAGATGACTCGAGGTCAGAAGTGCGTCACCCTGCCCCAGAAAGCCTCGGTTAGTCTCACTGTGATGTACAACAGCAACACACCTGCCTTCTGTCCTGATGTGAAATGGGATGGGGAGAGAGTACTTGTATGGTCTTACATGGTAATTACTGACGCCTCTGTTCCTAATCCAGGAAGGAGCAACTTCGTCAAGTGGGCAAATGTAGCATTAATTGTTAGACTTTCTGTTCATTTTCCAAGACGGTTCTCGTGGGCCTGCTGCCTGTACAGGAGAGAGGTCACCCCTTCACTGGGGGGGCATTGTGAAGAAAGCACAATGCTGTTGAGGAAGCTGAGTAAGGGGGGGTGCGAGGGACTGGGTGCACTTTGGGCACACACGGCTGTGTGACTGTAGGTGCCCGCTGCGGGTGCTGCCCTGGGTGTGCCACTGCGGGCACTGTGACTCCTCTTTGTGCAAATTACACACCTGGGTTAAAAACCTTCCTGCCACTAAACCCCTCCCTCTGTGCAACATTGCTGTGGCTGCTAGAGCACCCTGTGTGCTGGGACTGGCCCTCCCTCTCCCATTGACTTGCACCTTGGTAGCTGCTGTGACTTTGTATATGCCGGGGGAGGACAGCATGGCCTGGGGAGAACTGGGGGTTTCCATCTTGGAGCTGGTACCCAGGACAGCACTTGCCTCGGGGCACCTTCTTCCCCCATCCCTTTAGTGCTGAGAACAGTTGTACAGAGGAAACCTCATCCTGCTCTGCTTTTAATTCTGCTCAAACTTTACCTCACATCAAACCTGCCTGCACCAGTCTAGGCAAAAGTTCAGGACCTCTGGGCTTGGCTCGGCCCCTGAGGTGCATTCTCGCCACACAGCTCATGGCTCCTTGCTGCGCTGCCCTGGGCTTGGATGGAAACACCACTGCAGCAGCTCTTCAACCAAACAAAGACAGTACAGATCAAACAGTTATTTAATGTTCAGATACTGTAGTCAGATATGCAGTTACAATTCCCTAACAGCTGCTACAATAAAAAACCACATACAATACCCCGAGTTAAATTTAAAAGCAACTAGTCATTTTGCAAGAAACAAACCCATGAACTGAGCCCCTAGGCTAGAAATAGCTTTTGTAAATAAAGTGGTCAGAAACAATTAGTAGGGAAAATGATAGATAAAGGTCTGGTTTTTCCTCTCAAAAGTCATTAACATGGAAGCAGAAAAGTACCCCATGGTAAGGAAATCCTCAAACTACATAAAGCAGGAGTTAAAAAGTAGAACTTTCTTAATGTATGTTTTGGGGTTTGTGGGTAAAGAAAACTAAAAACTACATTAGGCTCCAAACTTATGAAAAGTCACTATTTAATTGTAGCTAAGTGTAGATTCTTAAAAGTCAGTGAAACATCTGTTCCATGAGTATCACAGTGATTACAAAAAGATCACACGATTTATACTGTAGCAAAATGCCAAGCTGCTGCAGTGTCTTTAGGGCCATTTATGAGGTGGCATAATTGGCAATAGGCTAGTTTTTAAAACCAAAGCACATCTTAAGTCCTAAACCAACCCCCTCCTGATGTATAATTTGTAATTTGGTACCTCTTCCTAGAGATTGTTTATAAACCACTGAGTCAATAACATTCATATGCCAATCTTTCTGAATGTAAAGCATCACTGTAGAGTATTAGAAACAAAGTTTCTGAATCTATAAAAGCAGACAGAGCATTTTGTTGCATCAAGCCTAACCTATGATTTCTCATCTTTCACCTGCCTGCAGAAGCACAGCGCTGGGTAGGTCACCTGCCCCATCCCTGGCAGTGTTCAAGCCGAGGCCAGATGGGGTTTTGAGCAACTTGGTCTAGTGGAAGGTGTCCCTGCCCCTGGCAGGGGTTGAAACTAGATGACCTTTAAGGTCCCTTCCAACCCAAACCATTCTATGTGACACCCATCTTAGAATGCAATTTCACCCCAAGCTGTAATAGGCCTTCTCTGCCTTTCAGGGAACTGTGTGGTGAACAGACACTTCCTTTGTGCAGGGACGCTTTGATGGAGTCACTACAGCTGGAGAGATCGTAGAGAGCCATTTAAAGCAGGGAAGAAAAGCACTCCAGTCTTGCAAAGCACAGTGAGTGCGTGTGCCCTGCACTGCACAGAAGGGAGGGCAGGCAGATCCCACCAGGGTTTAGTACCACGCACAGCAATAGGCACTAACAGTAAAACAAGTGAAAGGCAGAAGGGAATAGACAGTTCCTGGAATGCTGTTCCTGGAACAAGCCACCCACCCCTGAAGGACACAGCCAGCTTTCACAGGAACGCAAAGTCCATCAGGACTCTGAAATCCCTATAAATGCAATAATGTACCTGTTAGGAACATGCTTTAGTTGCTACAAATAAAGGAAGTATGAGACAAAATGAAGATGTTTCTTGGATAGTTGGGTTTTGATGAGAAGTCAAATACTGGAGATGCCTCTTCTGTTTGCCAATGAATATTGTTTGCCCAGTTGTACTTTCAGACCTGAACCCTCTCAGTCTAGCTACAGTAGTACTGCATCCTGTTAGTCCGTTGTCTTTTCCGTGACTGAAACTCTTCAAAGAAATGTTGAATGTCTTCTCTTTTAACCACCTACGGGAAGCAACATGAAACCCACGTTGTGCTACAAGGATTCAATCAAATGATCCCTTTCCCCCCAGTAGTCCCACGTGCATCCCATGTCATACACAAAGCATGTAAAGCAAGTATCCCAAACCCCCTCTGACACAGGTCACGCAGCAGCTTTCCCGTTCTACCCAAAGCAGACTAGTAATGCCCAAATTCCACTGTAAGAGAATACAGGTAAACAAACTCCCCAAAGGCAGAGCAAGCACATGGAGCAAAGCTCCTGAAGGTACTTCTAATGGCTTTGACCACTTGCTTTCATTGCCAGAAAAATTAACACAAATCAAGATTTTCAGGTGCTCACTTTCAGACTCATTACAATGTAACTAAGAATGGCAATTTAGCAAATAAGCCAACAAAATGCATGTGCTGATTAATAACAGCATGCAAACTCCTCCAGGAAAACACCTGACAGGACTGTTTGCCAGCAGCTACTCAGTCCTTACTCTTCTAAGGGTTTAAATTCAACCTAAGAAAAAACCATAAAGATTAAGAGCTTTTTTCCTGAATGCTTTTTTTAGGGCAACAGAAATTTGATTTAAATTAAGAAGAGCTCTCAGTACTTCCTAGACAGATTTCTGCAAGGTCCCTGTTACAATGTGATTAAAGAAATACAACTTCTCAATTCCCATGGAATCAGGGATGTCTTATTGCTACTGCAGTGCCAGCTACTCCGACAGGAAAAAATTATTATAGCATCCTAGTATCCAGCAGCCACCCCACAACAGTACTACAACACAGTTTTCTGGCAAGCAAATTCTGCAAGCTGTGTCTTACCGTTCCCTCATCGGCGAATCTCCTGAGATAGTCAGTCAGTTCCGTCTTTAAATCATTGTATTCTGGATGGAGGAGCAAAGGGAAGGGAAGGGAAAAAAAAACCCCAAGATACCCAGCTTTAGTTTAACACTGGCTCAAGAAGACAACTTGTTCTACTCCCTCTTGTCATTTATTACGTTTACTTGAGACAAATTAGGTTTGAACTGGATTATAAATAATAATAAAAAGAAAGGCAAGTCCAGGTAAACATGAGAAGCCTGTAATTTATCAGGCCAGCCTATGCATTCTGAGTGTCTGTCCAGGCTGGTCTTCAGAGAAATGTGCACAAGCTCAGGGAGCGTACAGTACAATCCATCAAGACTGCCCTGGCTCCCAACTTCTCACGGCAAAAGCACATGTGGGTCGTGGTGGGACGTCCTCGCCTGTAACTCAGAACTGGACAACTGCCCTCGCCAGAGGGCAAACCCCTCACTCAGAAGAGGGAACAGCTCTAGTTATAAAGGACCTCGGTGCTGCCTTGTCAATGCACTCTGTGGCAGAGCTGCCAGGGAGCACACTGCGCCCCAGTGGCACGCTGCCTGGCACTCCCCCAGACAACAGGAGATTGTTGTGCCACACAGCACAACAGGGTAAGATAAATAAGCCAGAGAGCAGAAATGTAAATTAATGTTTAAATATTCGTGTTACAATAAATTACTATCAATACAATAAAATGTTAAATAAGGGAAAAGTTCCCATACCAACTAGTTCCTCAATGTAAGTTAAAGTTGTAACAACAGGCCAGAGAGGACAAACTTCTATGGAGGAATGACTGAAGTGCCATCTGTCACACAGTCTTCTACATGTTACTTCAAAACCAGTTTGACACCACCCTGCAAGACCTGATACTAATCCTTATGGGAACCTGCTCAGTTAAAGTTTCAAGGCAGATTCTAAAAATGAAGTTGTATTTACCACAGATGAGTTCCACTTGCTGAACTCTGTTCATGCTGTTAAGGGTGTCCATTAAAGGATCTCTCCGCTCTGTTTCTTGGTCACTGGTACCTTTATTTTCGTAAGCCAAGACAGTGTCACATTCATCTGTCAGGAACTGCACTTCAAGCTCCGAATACATTTTCTGGAGAATGAAGTAAAATTTACTTACATATTACGAACCTTCTCAGATGGAGATGCTCTCCCCAATCCTTTTTGAGTTCAGTATCACAAATTACAACAACAAAAATAATAATGTATATTTTGTATCCAGCATTTCAGGCATCTCCCCACCACAACTTCCAAAGCAATACTGGATTTAAGCAGCAAAGAACGTACAAACATTTAGCAGCTCATTCATGCTGTATTAATTCTGAAGGATTCAGTGTATTCCTTTATGTGGGATGGGGAAGTGCAGGGGGTAGGTGTTTCTATGCACAGTAAGAACATTTACACAGATTTTATCTACAAGCTTCTCTCGTAGATGAAGATTCTCTGGGAGGTCCTCCCTGCCTCCCCCACACCAGTGGCCATAACAAAGAGAGGATACATACCAAGCAGTCTTCACAGGTGCACAGTTTGCTTCTCCAGTTCAGTGGCCAAAAGGTGGCAGTGTCTTTTTTTAAAAATGGCTTGCTTTGGAGTTCCTTCAGCTTGCAGGCTGGCTCCTCACTCTTAGTAACTACCTGAATTAAAATGAGTGTTCAGTGCTCCACACTATCACCTCCAAGACACTCCATTCTTTCCAACATGTCATTTTCCTTATGCAAGATTCTTCTGTTGTCTCAGACATTTATTTTTACAAACAACCTACATTACCATTTCATCCACATGAGGATTCTGATGTGATTTTAGCAGTTTCCACTAGAAATTTCTGTAGAAATTTACTGCAATAGCCATAAATGTTTAAGAAATCAGAGCTGGACTATCATGCAAATGCAGCTACAAAGCATAATATCCCTGTATTAGAACAAACTCAGAAGGTGCCTCAGTGTAAAAGCAAGGTGACTGACAGCAAGGGATGGATCTGACCTATTGGCAAACAGACATTATACCCCTGTCAGCCACTTCTACAATGCTGTTCCACAGCCTACGCTGTGCTCCACAGAGACAGCATGTTTGAAGTGTCAGTGACTGACGAGGAACATGGAAACAGACTGAAAGCTTTTAGCTCTTCACTAAACCTATACAGAAGGAGGCAGCCTTTGCCTCAGCTACCATCAGCATGAAAATGAACAGGACAGAAAAGAAGGTACATCTTACCTCTGGACAGGCAGACCCAGAGCTAGTGGATGGTTCATTAAACTGTTCCATTTGCTTTTCTTCCTTCATTTCCTGGTGTTCCACTCCACTTTCTTTTTTTATTTCTTTTCTCTGCTCTTCACTTTCCTTAACCTTCAGGAAAACCCCTTCACCTTCAAGGGAGTTCACTTTGGCCAAAGGAGGAACTAGAAGATACGTACCCACGTAAGTGAGAAAATATTGTGCCAGACAACATACTAGCTACTACAGACGTCCTCTCTGCTTTACACTGCAGTGTCAAAGAGCACCCAGATCAGCTCATACACTGCAGGGTCCTGGATATACTCTACAGCTGGCCAAAGACACACTGACCTAGGCAGACAAAGAAACACTCCCTCTTCATTTCTCATACTCCTATTCTAAAATACTCTCTTCACAAAATCTATGTCCTAGGAGATGGAAAAGGGTATGACAATTTGAGATAGTTCTGTACCAAGATGCTTGTCTTTCTTGAAGTCCCTTGATAACTATTGCAGGTTCAGTAGCTGTCACATATTTTTTGCTGACTTTGTGTCAGTCCTTCATTTCCTCCAGACACCCACCCCAAAAACTCCGTGACAGATTAACTACACCAATCCCTTCCTTATTTAAAATAAGTTTTTCATTTGATGTCAATTTAAATGTGTTCCCTGTGATATAGCTGGTTAGAAGCAGAAAATCTAAAACAAACAAAAAACCCCATTCTGTACTGTATTTACATTAGAGGGAAGAGAACTCCAGGTAGGCCATCTTGGAATCCTTAAAATTGCCACTGAAATTTCTGGCACATAAGAGATAGTTATCATTTGATATAAGCAACGTTCAGCAGACTATGTGAAACCAGCTCTTTCCACAGAAAGCAAGTCATCTACCCTTCTGATCCTGCAGAGACCACATAGCAGACAGAGGCCTGCAGGGAACGTGTCCTGAGCCCAGCCCCAGCTCTACCCAGATGAAGGATTTACACATTCATTCCAGGTCACTTGTCATTCATTCTCTGCTGCTCAGAGCCTCTTATGCTCAGCTGTTTGCCTCATGGCTTCCCTTAGGATGACTCTTCAGTTCTTTGATCCAGTTTAGAAATTAAGTAAGTTCTTTAAGACAAGTACTAAATCTTCAGCTATCTATGTGCTAGCACATCTCTGATAAAATACATGAGTGAGCATCACAGAACTAAGATTTAGGAACGAGAACTACAGAAGAGTCTGTGCAGCCCTGCATGTTCCACTGCTGAAGGCAACTGTCCAATATATTGAGTATCATTTCTCCGACCATTTAAACAGTGTGAAGTTATTAATCAACCACATGACAAATACACGCTAACGAAATACTGGCTCAGATATCTCAATTTTCTTTACCTGCTAACTGTGATGCGTAAGCCCAGAGGAAATGGCAGTGATTCATGCAGGCTTGGCACACCATTTCATGGAAGTCTCCGCTTTCAGGGGGAACTGCACCAAGATGCTGTCAAAAAGAAACAAGCATGCATCAGTGAAACATTCGCTGCAAATTAACAGACTCAATTCTAGGTTTAGAGGAAGTAAATCATCAACTGCTGCCACAGTTTCAGTACAGTCGTACGCTCCTGCTAGCTTTCTATGATAATCAGCAGTATAATTTAAAGACTGAAAAGAGATGACAAAACTTCCAGGGAAAAACTGAAGTAATTCTGTCTTTGTCTAAACACTTTCATGCCTTCTACATAGCCAGAAATCTCACTCCTATCTCATTTCTAAACAATATACTTCTACACAGACTTAATATAACTCTTAAATAACTTTTTATGATTGCTTCCTTATGTGCAAGAGGTTGTAAATCTTCATATTGGTCACATAATGCACTTGGGAAGAATTAGGTCCCAAAGCTCTCCATGAACTGGTGAGAAATATTTAGGCAATTAAAAGTGCTTAGTGGCTTTCTTTTGAAAAGCATTATTCAAGGCTCACAGTATGCAGCATAACATTCATCATACACACATTTATAGAAAAGAATCCTACAGTTTATCTAGAGAACCCATAATTGAAGCCAATCATCTTTTTTTTAATTCTTTGATCCTGCAACTTCAAACACGGAATTTCACTCATGCCCTTCAAGGCATGAGGCTGAATCCTTAATGCGCAAACATTAGTAGGGCACTCACTGAAGTGCTGAGCTGCTTTGAAGAGATTTCCCCAGAGTTTGCAATCATGAACCAACAGCACAGTTCTTCCTTGCTACTTAAAGGAATTACAGTTTTAAAAGCATTCTTTTGCATGAAGAACTGTTTGGGTAGCTGATAATAACATGCCTCAGTAAGAACCTTTTTCTCACCGATTGCACTGATATTAGAATTTTCCAGTTAAAGATACAGTTACAAAGTTGTTCTTTTATTCTGCAGTGGTAACCTTCAAAGAGGTAGAACTCTTCCCATTTTTTTTGGACTGGAGCGGACAGCAGCACAAGATTAAACTTTTAATATTCCTTTGCATAGCATGAAAAGAAATACCTCAGAACTCCGGTAATAATCTTTTGAGAACGGCAGCAAACCTTCTCAAATAAGAATAACCATACAAATTCAACTGACACTAACTTATTTCTATGCAAATGGTCATTCTGCTACTTGTAGTTTCCTTACCCTTCCGTGGAACCAGTCTTCACAGACTATGCACTGGATCATCTCATCTGGAATCTAGATGAATGGTCATATTATTAGCATTAATAGCAACTTCTAGAGTCTTTCACAAGCCTCAAATGACACTATTATGCAAAGCCTGCTCAAGTGAATTGCACTTCCCTCTTCAGCCACCCACAGGGAGCTGCCATTAGTAAGTAGTTAACTGCTTCATTAGTCAGTTGGTTTCCCTGAAGTTCAACAGCATATGTAATTTGTTGTATTATCAAGACTGTGGAAATTCCCATTTATTATTACAAAACTTGTTTTCCTAGTAGAGCAAGACATCCTCACAAAAGAGCTGATAAAAGTTAATACACTGTTGGCATCTTTCTTCCTGTAAAGAGAAATGCATTAACAGGCAGCTTAGCAAACGAAAGATACTGATACCCATCACATCATGAGGTTTACAGAGGAACACCAGAGTCCTAACTTAACTGGCCACAACACAGTACAATACAAACTGCTTTGTCAGGAAACAATTATTAGTGATTTCTTTAGAAATGTTTACCTATCTCTGAACTTCAAAGAGGTGAGTATGTAAAACACTTTCTGTATTTATAAGACTTGCTCCTTCCTTATTCTTTAAAACACCTGATTTCTATGACTGCAAACCAAACCATGTGTGTAGTGCAAACCAAATGGTGTATTTTAACACTTCAGACAAAGAAAAAGTGTTGTGACTACCATAAGGGAAAGCTAAAGCCAGTGCTACAGGGCAGACTCTCCCCATCTTGGAAGCCTTGTCAGAGCACTGTTGCAGACACAAGGAAGCAGATTCCGGTCTTTCCTAACACATGCAATGTGTTTACTGTGCACTTGCCACATTTCTTAGGATGATGAGAAACCCACTCCCAAGGGGAACTCCATAGAGAAGCCTCTACTTTATAGAGAGGAAAGCAGAGAGAACTGCAGCAGTGTTTTGTCCAAATGATGGTTTGTCCTCCTTACCTGTCTTTAAGGCATAAACATATTCCACCATTAAAAAAAACCCTGATAATTATGATATATATGACAACCAAGAGTAATAAAGAGCGTAAGATTTCCTGAAGTGGGTTCTTCGCTATAAAGCAGCTCAGCGACAAACCTTTGTACAATACTTTGCATAAATACCATCTATATATGATTACTGTCAGCTTTTGTATTTCTTACCTCATCTTCAGGATCAGGATAAGGTCTTTTACAAGTACAGTATAATCCATAGAAATTGTCATTATACTTATTTCCTGAATTCACTTTGCCCTTTTCCTAGAAGGAAAGGAAAAAATCTCTCAGTAGACAATGCAGTGAAAAACAAGACAGAAAATATGCATAATCTAGAAATAAAACCCCAAACAAACATTCCTGTTGCACTTTAATTCCTAAGAGCAATAATTACACTCATCAGCTTGAGGATCCAAAATGAACAATATTATCCAGACATCTATGCTGTACAGGGAGCAGCAGATAGGGCACGCAGGGAATAGTGAAGGTCAAAAGGAAAAACAGTCTCTCCACCTTTGTAATAAATGGCAACTGTGGTGTTTGTTAAACTACTGCTAATCCAGAACAACGTAAGAGTTCTGATCACCAACTGTGCCTACCTGCTGCAATATAGCAACACCTGTAGATTTACTGTGCACCTTCCCCTCCATTTTTTTTTTTTTGAACTCCAGATGGTGATCCCAACGCAACTTTGTTTAATCTTACCACTGAGCTTCCACTAAATTTGTGTCATACAAACCTCATTCTACAGGAGAGAATTACCTAAATTACAAAACATGCTGAATGAAACTCAATTACAGGTAATCGCATTTTAAAAACAAATGAACAAACCCCCAGCTAATACAGCTGCTGCCAGAGGGCTTCAGAACTGCATGTAACTACAGCCTAAGGCCACTATTGGCCCCTGCAGAAAGAGCTGTGACCATTCATGATGTTCCTACAGAACACTTTCTACCACTGTTGTGACAAAGAAAGGACAGGCAATGCGAGCACTTGACACCCATGAAATTCAACAGATTAATGGGTGGATGCTGAAGGTCACTTAACCGGTACAATTGATTTTGCACTGAACTGAACGAGGAAGAACCACCACATGATCCATTTCACTGACTTGAATTAGAAACAGTAACACCTTAGAATTGTCACAGGTGTCTCTCTAGGGATCACTGGACTATAGCCCTGGGCTGACTAGCTCTGGATCTATCCCAGTTCTGCTGGAACAAAACAGGCGTACACAAAACCATGGGCTGTTTCTGCATCTGGCTGTCATTACCCTGGGAGCAGCGCTGTGGGCAAGCCAAGCAGCTTCCTGTTGCTGCTTCCCAGAATATTACCAACTACTTGACAAGTTCAAAATGCCCAATGAAATGAAAGCACAGGAGGCTTAATACAGTAAAAAACTATCCCATCAGTGGGTTCTGGTGACAACCAATCAAAAAAGATTAGGGCAATAATGCTACCATGAAGAAGGGGAGGGAAGTGTCCCTTCGGCAACAGAAGCAGCTTAAATTTCTTTAATGCAACAGCAAAATTGCACCCAAAAGATTCCCCTGAAGCCAGCTTAAAGCCAATGAGATGTATTAGTGCAGGCACCTCAACACATTTCTGGCATTATGCTGACCATAGATGCAAAACTGCTGCCTTCATGGATGACAACTATCAAACGTTTTCTCTCCTCTCTCCTCACATTTTCTTTTGGTCCCTCAACAGCTTTATCTCCCGCTGTAATACTCCCACCTTGTTTAACTTGTTGGGAAAAGCAGAGGCACCATGTGCGTCAGTACTGGCTGAGGCCAGGCACCAGCCTCCCAGTGCTGTCATTTTGATTCTGTGTGTACAAAACCTGTATCTGCACTTACTGGCAGTAACTTGCACTGCAGATTTTTGAACTTGCTATTTCCACAGTCACAGCGGAAGTTCCTGGAAAGCAAAGCACAGCGTTTCAGGTGAGTTTATTAACTGGAAACACATTAGGTTTTGTGTTCATAAGATTCCCAGCAGTTTATTAGGCGACATATAAGCATTCTTGCAGTGCTTAAACAGCAGTATCAGTCAGAAGTGGCCTTACCCTCTCACAAGGGGCTCTTGGCGGATCTTGGCTAACACCATCACTGACAACAGCACTTGGCTGGGAGGCTGCAGCGGCACAGCTAACCCTTGGTGCTGCAATTACCACACTCAAAACCACGCACTGAGTGCTGGTGGAATAGGAGCCTGAACTGCTTCATTTGCGAAGGCCGGATCCATTAAGGTGATTAAGTTCTTGTCTCCTACTCAGACACCTAAGCTCTCACTTAAACAGGGCTGGTGTGCCAAGGGAAGAGGAAGGTGGGTACCTCAGTGTCCTGACCTCAGCTGCCTGTGCAGCTTTGCTGGGAGCGGTTTATTTCGTGCGAGTTGTCCTACCTCACCGAAGCGCACCAGCGAGTGGAGGTGTCCCTGTTGAGACCCGCCCCAGCC